CCTCACCTTCGTCACCACAAAGAGCTCCTCCCTGGCAATACGACCACTGGAGAGCCACTCGTGCAGGACGTCCCCGATCTCGACCTCGTTCTCGTAGACTGTGGCAGTGTCGATGTGCCTGTAGCCGCACTCGAGGGCCACGTTCAGGGCCTGCCGGATCTCGTCGTCACGGCTCTGAGGGTGGGAAGGGACTAGGGTTAAGGTGTATCGAATGATCAGGTCTTCTTATTCATCTTTTTTTTCTTCTTCTTCTCTACTTCCGTCTTTTCTTTTTTCGTCTTTCAGTATGTGTATAGAGTGCGTCTTTGTTTATTTATCTGTTTATCTATTTGTCAGGTAAAACATTCCTGGATCCGAGTCACCGCCATCTAAGTTGGGATAAAACGCACGTCTAATAAAAAATCATAAAAATCTGTTCATAACTTTTTGATTTATGCGAACTAACAGACAAACAAACAAACAAGCAAACAAACAAACTAGCCAAAGCTACCAAAAACATAACTTTCTTGGCGGAGGTCATAATAATAATAATGATGGAAGTGATAATGATAATGATAATGATGATATATCAACGAAGATGATGATAATAACCACAGCAGCAATGATAAATGAAATTATAATAATAATAATGATAGTAATGATAATGACAATTATAATATAATCAATGATGATGATGATGATGATGATGACGATGATGATGATGATGATAATAAAGATACTACTACTACTACTACTACTACTAATAGTGATGAGGACTAAAAATAATAATAATAATATGGTAATAGTAATGATGATAATGATAGTAAGAATTATAATAATACAGCAATAGTGACAACAACAACAACAATAATAATGATAATAATCACAGTAATAATAATAATGAAAGTGGTAATCATGATAATAGAAATGATAATGATAATGGTAATAATAATAATAATAATAATAATAATAATAATAATAATAATAATAATAATAATAATAATAATAATAATAATAATAATAATAATGATAATAATAATAATGATAACAATAATAATGATAATAACAATAATGATGATAATGAAAACAATGATAATAACCAACAACAACAATAATGATAATAATAATAATAATAATAATAATAATAATAATAACAAACATAATCATAAAATTCTTAATGATAATGATGGTAATAATATTAATAGTTATGATAACAACAACAACAGCAACAACAACAACAACAATAACAACAACAATAATAATGACAATGATAATGATTACAATAATGATAAAAATAACAACGACAACAATAATAATAACAAAAAAGACACTAGTAATGATGAATATCATAATGATAATGTTGATAATAGTAATGATGATGATAATAATAATAATATAATGATGATGATAACAATAAGAATGATAACAACATAATGATAATGATGATAATGATAATAATAAGGATGATGATAATGATAATAATAACAATAATAATAATAACAATAGTAATGATAATGATACTACTGCTACTACTAATAACAATGATAATAGTAATAGCAACAATAGCATCAATAAAAATTGATACGAATGATAATAATAATGATGGTGATAACAAAAACAATAATAATGATGACAACAATAATGATGGTCATAACAATAATAGTAATAATAATAATAATAATAGCATCAACAAATGCATGGAGGATAGGCCTTGCAAGAGATATGCGTTCATAAAGTCCTTGAGTCTTGGCTCATTAAACCAGTGTTGATATCACCCCTGATCTTGCATGGCAATATATATATTTGTTTATATATAGAATTGTGATTATTCTTTTTTTCTTCTTTGCTTTTGCTTGAATTTTCTCTCTATCTCATTTCTTTTTGTCTGTGTTTCCTACTTCCCTTTTTTTCTCTATGTGCAATTCATTCTAATATACTATCTCTCTCTCTCTCCATCTCCTCTTTCTATCTCTCTCTCTCTCTGCATCTACTTCTCTCTTTATCCCCCCCTCATTCTTCCTCTCTCTCTCTCTCACTCTAGGCTTTCAAGAGTCATCAACATTATTTTCTATTATTATTTATTATTATATGACGGTATTGCACGTCCAAGGGATCTCAGACAAATTATCCGCCAATACAATTATCAAATATTTTATCATTCATACAATCCATAACATGAGTATCAAAATATTTACTCTATATCATAATAGTAGTGCATTAACGTGAAGATATCGATGCTTATGTGAAAGACGAAAGCTTAAATTAACAAATATTTAAGAGACGAAATTGGTCTTACACTCCCTTTTGGACACGCATACCCTCATCCAGTATAGACTAGCCTTACCAACAGATATCCACAAAATATCTATCTTGACGTCTCTAACAAGCCACATTACCTTATACGTCCCCAGCCCCACCATGGGCATTTTCCCTCCGTTGTGTAGTGTGATTGCCGGGATGCGAGAAGACATGGTGCAGGAGAGCTGGGTGCTGGGCGTCAGGCAGGCGGCGGGCTGGGAGA